GATGCCAGCTTATAATTAATACGGCAACCAAAATGTATTAGAATGTATGAAAACTAATGAATTGGGTTCCCAAAGGGACAAAATAAAGCTACAGCTTTTACCATCAAACATTTCTTTGACATAATTTAGATTCATTCCAAAGTTGTTTTGTGAAGACGACAAATAAACAGTTCGCCAAAAAACACAAATTTCTATTTTTCTTTAATATGTTTCATGTTTTCTTACTAACAGTGTTTGTAAGTTGTAAACAAAAATAAATAAATAAACTGGGTTACAAGCTTCAGCAAAGCTGGAATGTAAACAAAATGTTGAGTCTTCTTTTTTATTTCTCTCATATTTCGTCGTTCACACAACAACTCAGAGAGATAATAAAATGTGACTCAGGCTGATCTAAAATGTGCTAATATCTAATTAATGATATATATTAGCCCACTGAATATATGTATGATTTAACAGAAACACCAATAAACCCACTGATGTCTCGTTGACAGATTTGAGACGCAACTTAAATGTTTGCTTGCACATAAAATGAGAACCAATCACATTCGTCACTTGGGATAAAATACAAATAACTTCAGGGCCCAAATGGCTTTTTGTTTGCGACTTAATGTGTTTTTTAAAAGATACTGTTGCAGTATCCAATTGATTGAAAACCATTTTAGATGAGGAAGCGCAGAACTTCAAACACCTAAATAGCATTAGAGCAGGGTATGTAGTCAGCTGCTGTTTAACCAGAGAAAAATCCATGTTTGCATCCTCAGCCCAAAGCTAGACTCATGCAGGTTGGATTCCACTAAAGCAGCTGCTTGTTGCCAAATGTGTTTCAGGATCTCAATGCAAATTTGATGTGTTGCTGTTGGTGTCTACAGAACATAGTCTTGATCATACATTTGCAGTTGAGTTTGAAGAAACGTAGACTCTCAACTTCCTATCACTGGGCGATATTTGCCCTGGAGTTTCCAAATTGTCTTAATACATTCATGACATTCTTAAAATCATTGAGTGGTGTTGCCTTACGATCAGTTGAATTCTGAAAATGGTAAGAAAAATGAGCTGAAAGTTCTTGGCACACGTCAAACTTGTTTCAAGCCCACCATGATTACAAATTTGGATGAAGTGTGATAATTAGTATGTTTTATATTGGTTGTTGTGCATTCTTCACATGTGCCATGCACAACCTCTAGTAGATGAGGCAGCCCTGGTGGAGTCCAGCCTTGTCCACTAGCTTCTGCTCTTTGAAGCCCCCTTCCCCACCCTGCATGTGCCTAGTAATGAGGACAGCCCTCCAGATTGTGATGATTAAGAAGGACCCAAGCTGAAATGCAAAGCTCTTAATTTGCAGGTCCATCAGTGTTCAAATCTTCATCTAAGGTCATGAAATTTAGATCATGACATCAAGATCTTGTACCAGCAACAGGCTAACTCTGACCTTGGTTTTCTACCCGATGTGTAAAATGTTGCATAGCATCTGCAAAGACTAATACACCTCTAATAGCTCCGGTTTTAGTCAGTGGTTTCAAAAGTTTACACCTGATGCAGAGCAGCATGTTTTCACTAAATTGATGCTTCGGGTCTACGCTTCCAAAACTTGTCAAGCTCAGCAGTTTTGATTAATCTAAAGAGGGAATCAAACACAGAGCTGTGTCAAGTACCTTTCAAAATAAATGACACACACAGACTTCCTGTAGTTATTCAAAGGAAATTTGTCATTACCTGTGAAATCTTCTAGGTCAAGGTAACAACAGAAAGTGAACCACAGACCTGGAGATATGCTGCCGTCCTACCACTTGCTTGTTATAATTGGGTAAATCTTAGATTTTGTCATTTTCCTGTGATCTTGCAGGATAAAATACATGGAATGTATCCGCAGCCACTGGGAATCTCGTAGCAGTTGCAGCAGGGGAAAAAAATATGTTACATTACATGCTGCTTACGCATCCAGTGGTAAGCTCTGATTAGAGATAGAAACAGAAGCTCCAACATCTGGGAAAAGCTAGAAGAGATAGCTTGGCAAGCTATCCCATGTGAATATATAGTCTGACCACGATGCATTGCTATCTCTCAGTCATGGGGCAAGATCTACAGTTGTCTCAATAACCGTCTCCACATGCTATTGGACAACAAACAACATGACGTACTCACTGCTACGAATGTTAGTCCTTGAGGCTGTCATACACCATTGAAGAAATACATTGATTTTCTAAATAAACTTAACTATCTGCTCTTGACTCTAAGAAAAGCCCAAGTCTAAATGGTCCAAAGTTGATGCCAAATCTGTTATAAACAAGCTGTTGCCATCTTTGTTTCGCTCAGTCGCAGTAACATCCCGCCCACCAAACAGAGCGTTGTGATTGTTACGGCACCAGACTGGCCGGGGCTGCAGAGGTTCTGACGTAGCAAGGCTAAACCGACATCCATCTATCCCTTATCTGAACCTGCTTGTCCATGAAGGAGCTTGCGGCCATCTCCAGAATTCAATGGGCAAACGAGCGGCATGCACCCTGGACAGGTTGCAGGGACAACACGGAGACACACAGGACAAACAACCAAGCACTCACACACACACACACCTTAGGACAATTTAGGCAGACCAGTTAACCTGACAGTCATGTTTTAGGACTGTGGGAGGAAGCCGTAATACCCGGTAAACTCCATGCAGAAAGACCCCAGGCCGGGATGTGAACCTAGGACCTTCTTGCAAAAAGGCAACGATGCTGTGGGGCAGTCAGTGAGGCAGACACATCCCTGTTCAAACCCCTCAGCATACAGGGTCAGCCTGTGGAGCAGGTTCAGTCATTCCGGTATCTGGGAACAGAAATTGATGACCACCTGTCCTTTGCAAACCACAGCAACGTTGTCTGCAAGAAAGAGCTGCAAAGACTCCACCTGCTAAGGAAGCTAAGAGCACTCAATGTGAACAAGGACATCCTAACAATTGTATATAAATCACTGATTGAATCCATTCTAACTTTCAATATTACAGCTTGGTATAACTTTCTTACAGTTAAAAACAAAACGCAACTCTCTCGCATTGTTAAATTAGGCAGCAAAATTACAGGTTCACCTCAGATCCCACTTTCTGTTCGTAACGAGCGAGCAGTGCACAGGAAGGCTACCCTGATCAGTGCAGACTCAACCCATCCATTGAACCCACATTTTCATTTACTTCCGCCAGGAAGGAGGTACAGGGTTCCATTGGCCACGAAAGGTGTCTGTAAGAAATCATTTGTTCCCACCACAATTACAATTTTGAATTCTTAGTTTTATTTTTATTTTTTACGATGATAACATTCTAATACCTTTTTAATTGTTTTTTTATATATTTGTGTGAATGCGACATGGATTGTATTGTAAGGTGAGCCATGTCAAAGGCAAATTTCTGCCTCAATTCGAGGTGGACAATAAAGTTTATCTATCTATCTATCTATCTATCTATCTATCTATCTATCTATCTATCTATCTATCTATCTATCTATCTATCTATAATCTATCTATCTATCTATCTATCTATCTATCTATCTATCTATCTATCTATCTATCTATCTATCTATCTATCTATCTATCTATCTATCTATCTATCGATCATCTATCTATCTATCTATCTATCTGTCTATCTATCTATCTATCTATCTATCTATCTATCTATCTATCTATCTATCTATCTATCTATCTCTCTCTCTCTCTCTCTCTCTCTCTCTCTATCTATCTATCTATCTATCTATCTATCTATCTATCTATCTATCTATCTATCTATCTATCTATCTATCTATCTATCTATCTATCTATCTATCTATCTATCTATCTATCTATCTATCTATCTATCTATCTATCTATCTATCTACTGTATCTATCTACTGCGCCGCTGTGCAGCCCTGGCTAGACCGACATGCGGAGCAAAATCATTTCACTTTGGTCACTGACGGTCTAGATCGGCTGTAGAAGTGAGGCTCCTCCGTATCAAAAGAAGTTTGTTCAGGTATGATCAGAAAGTCCCTTGGCCACTTACCGTTCAAGTTTTTTCCAGCACAGCTGTTTTTTTCTCTCTGCCTTAGTATCAACCTTGTGTCCAAGGTTCTCCATTAAGTATGTCCAAAAGATGGTACCACACCTCTCAATCTCACATTCATGTGCTCTCACAAGAATACTTACTGCACACACCAGCACAGCTTCTAATTCATGTAGATTTTTAACACATCAATTGTTTGAACAGCTTTTTTGAAACCCATAAGCACTCTCACAGCTTGTAGATTATACTCCAGCTCTTTGGAGGTGAGAAGGAGGTCAAACACTTCAGTCGTCGTTTTGTTTTACGCGTTCATTACAAACGTCTTCGAAGAGTCACGGAAAACGAACACCGTTATCCTCGTACTTAAGAACTGAAGTGTGGCCACTCCGAGCAGTTTAACTGCTAGCCAGCAAGAACAAAACGAGAGGGTTTATAGTGTGTGAAATTGTGAAATACAAGGAAAGAGAAGAAAGAAATTTCTCACCTGCTTGCCCACGCTCTCTGATATTAAGACACTTTTCACACATATCTGTCATACGCTCACACATTTCAATCTCCAGCCTTAAATCTGTTTTGACTCATTCTTATCTAATCTCCCATCTTGCCTTGCCCTTATTTAACTGTCAGTTTCTGCCAAAGACTTTTAAAAAGGTATTTCTTCGTTCTAGATGTTTCAGGAGATTGACCTTTGAGTCAAAACAGTGTGACAGGTTTGAAGTCAAGTTGGCATTGACGAGTTTAATAGTATCACGTGCTAATTTTTACTGCCCTTCTGTGCACACTTTGACGGTTCTTATGATTTGAACAGGAATGGAAATGACGGCGTTTCAGGTTGTACCGGTGCAATTAGCACACGTGTACTCGCTCTCACATCGACGTTTAACCATGTGATTCCCAGCAGACCACTTCAAGAAGAGTTTAATGTGTTTCTGTGTTCAAAGCATTTTACTGTAGATCGTCTGAAGGCTTCTAAAGCAGAACCGGCTCATTTAATCATCCACTGGACACTCTGGGGCTTTTCTGAGCTTCAAGGCCCCACACATCCCAGATTCAGTCGTGGACGGCAACCCTTCAGATTCACAATGCAGAAAAACGAACTTTTTGGTGCATATGTTTAACAAGTAGTGCAAAAATATTTTGCCACTTTCAAAAGTATTCATTTTGCCTGTGATTGCTATGTCTGAAATTGTGCAGATCAAAAGAACATAATGGTTATTTCAAAACTGTTTATTCGGAATTCATAAGACTTGAATAAATACAAAGATGTTGACTCAACCCTAGTTTTTATTCTGTTTCTGCAAATAATTACCCTCTTACAGAAGCATGAGCAACAAATATAAGCACAGCACAAAGAAGGAATCGGTTAACTTTAGTAACCATGATTAATATTTAAATAATAAATTCATAAAAAGGATTGGAAGACACACGTTTCTGGGTGATTTGCACGTAGTACAATTTTCATTTTAAACAACACACAACCCAAAATATTTTTGACACTATTAAATATATTTTAATATCTTCATTGTTGGTTTATAATAATGCGATATGGACTTCCTCACCTTCTTGAAGACGTATAATTTCTTATCTAAGAACCTTTTCCAGTTCTTACAGAAAAAAGTTAATGAAGTGGAAGCTTCATTAATGCAAGCTAAGCTACTAATAAGTCCTGAAACCCGCCCCGATGACCAAGAACCTTCACCTTTATATCTTTATCTAAAAATACATTTCAATAGACTATGTTGAAGAAGACAATCCTCCAGTTGAAGCATAACATAAACATTATAAATAATCCTAATGTAGAAGCGATTTATTCATGCATGTTTGTCACTGAGCTGCATTTTTATGTCAAGACAACCTCTTCAGCGTTTTCACCCTGCAGGTTTATTATTGTTTACACTATTTTTCTTTTCTTCCTTCTTTCCCCATTACACATATACCTTCAGTGTCATGTTCTGTGTCCCTTTGTTCCCCAGCCCTCCAGTTCCCACTCCAGGTTCTCCTTTTGTGTTTCATGGCGCCCTCATGTGTCCTTTGTCTGCGTCTTTCCCCATGTGTCTCCTAATGTTTCTCCATCCCTCTCTGGATTCCCTTTTGTGTTCTCTTAGCGCCCTCATGTGTCCTTTGTCTGCATCTCTGTTGTGTGTCTTAAGTTATAGCCACAGCCTCTTGTTCCCCAGTTCATAGTTTGTGTGTCTCAGTATGTGTATGTGTTTGTGTGAGTTCTTCCCTTAGTCTTTAGGTTTAGTTTTGTGTTTTACATAGTGTTAGGTTTATCTGCCCTCCACTGGTTCTCTTCCCCATCCAGATAATTGTTGTCACCTGCCTTCCCTCCAGCCTCACTCCACACACCTGCTTCCTGTTTCCCTAATTGCTCCTCCCTGTTTATATAAGCCCTACTTGTCTCTGTGTTCTTGTCGGTCCATTAATGTTTGCTTGTTGTTCTTGTCAGCCTCGTCTCGTTCCTGTTCCTAGCTTCTAGTGATTCCAGTGTTTTCCAGTGTTCCTAGTTCTCTGAAGTTTTTTGATTACTCAGTTCAGATTTTTTGGATTTTTTGGTTTGGGCTCCCTGCTTCTTGGACTACTCCTAATAAAGGATTTTATTTTCATCATCCACCTCCTGCCTCGTTCATCTGGGTTCTGCATCTTGGGTCCAAACCTCCTGCTCCTTAATCGTGACATTCAGTGCTTTATAGCCTAGTTTATGCTTCTGCGTCAGCTCCACGAGGGAGAGATACACACACATTGACTGAGACATTTAGCCTTTGGACTTCTCGGTCACCTGAGGAGTGTTGAAAAGCAATTCTCCACCAGGACAACAGAGGGCGTAGTGCTTTTCTAGGGTATCATGTAGAGCATAACTATTGTTTATATTATGTTTTTGTATTTCAGAGACTTTTTAACAGACAAATTTGTCCCTCATTCTCCTTCACCTCTTCATGTGCTCTTTAGAGCTACCTCTAAACCCATGTTTCTCCTCATTTCCATCCATCCATCCATCCATCCATCCATCCATCCATCCTCTTCCACTTATCTGGAGTGGTTCAACAGCTTAAGTTGAGAAGACCAGACTTCCCTCTCCCCAGCCTTTTGGGCCAGCTCTTCCTGGCCAGGCGAGAGACAGTCGTGTCGTGGGTCTCCCTTTAGGTGAGACCCAGGACGTCATTCACATCCATGAATAAAATGCTTGCTGCGTATCTCTATACTCCTCCAGCCACAGGTGACTAAAAAGTTAATATTTTGAATTTTTCCATGAGGTATTTTTCAATCTGCTCTGTATATGCCGCTAGAAATCTTTTGCTCTCTTAATTTACTTTGAGGGGCAATGGCGGTGCTGTAGACAAATTTAAAGGAAGCAGCATCCAGGCCAAACACTGTCTCGTTCATTGCATGTTGAGAAAAGTGGGTTAGACTTTGTCATTGGAGCCTGCTGGAGTGCCCTCGCGATGACGAATATTGGTGTTACGAGTCTCCGCGTCGGCACAGAAGCATAAATTAGGCTTTACTCTTTGACTGCTGGAGACAGATTGTTGCTCTTCCTGAATAAAATATTTTATAGGTTCCTTTGCAAAAAAATGTGTTGAAGGGGTTGACTTCAACGCACAATGTGTAAAAACATGTGAGTTTTTAGAGCCATGCAGTTCAAAGTAGGTACTGCATCCTATGGTAGTCCACATGCATCAAGAGGGCAGTATCCTTGTGACGGAGTGCACACAGCTGCAGGAAAAAGCTACAGTTACTTCGGGGTTTTGCACACAGAAAACAGCACGCACCAGCTCTCAAACGTCTGTACGTTTTACTTACTTCTCACTCCAGTGCTGCCACTTCTGCCACGTCACTTGTCTCCCTTTCCTCCGCAACCGTGCACACACCACCACAGTTTTAAACGACTTCCAGCTTTCAGTTCAGCGATCACATGCAGTTGGAGCAGGGCAAGCAACCAAAGGGCAGAGAGCAGAATTTCCCCAAACCAGCAAGACTGCTACAGCAAGAGCTGGCATTATCTCCCATGCAATGTTTGAAGGGAGGAGAACTTCCATGATGAAACGTGGAGCATTATATCTTATATGCCCTTAACCAGCTACGATATTTCAGGATGGTGCATGACCATGGAGCGTCGACCACCATTTATTTATGTAAATATGTACGATTTTAAGCCAATAGGAACTTTTAGAATGGACATTGTTTGAAAAAGAACACATTTGAGAAGGAGATACACAGAATTGTATAGTAAATAAGTTAAAATAGTACACACTGTGATTTTTAGAGACCAAGTTCACTCATTCTTTCAACACATTTGCAGCCAAAGTTAAACATAATTTTCATTAAAGAATATTATGTGAGATAGGTCTGATTTTTTTATTCAAAAAGTCTTCATTAATTTTTTTTGCTTAATAGTTCAATGTAGATGAAAATGTTCTAACAGCCAGTTAAAGGGTTAAATGATAAATTACCTGCACTTGTATAGTGCCTTTCTGAGTTGGAGGACTTCAAAGCATGCACCCTGCTCTACAGTCAGTCACAGATTGAAGCTGGGTTTGAACTGGCAACCCATCAGTCGCAGGACAAACTCTTTACCCATGAACCACCATCGCCCAATACAATCCACAGCTTTTGAACAATTTACACATTTTATTTTATAAAGACAAAGAGCCGTTACTGAACTGTTTCAAATACCTATAGAATTTTGGTTTTTTGGTTTAGCTGAATTTCACTAAATCAAATCCTGGATTATTATAGACTCAAATTATTAAAAAATAAACTGGACAAGACATTATTTAGAAGGATATAAAGTGATCTTCTTTTATATATATATAATTTTTAAGAGCATTCCAATTTTGTGTCCAGTGAACTGCTGATATGAAAACTAAAGTAATTTGATTTCATGTGTATTTTAGATTAAATGTTCCCATAAATGCAATGAAATCTCTTTTATATCTTTATGCTATACCAGCTATTTCATTAAATTTATCCTTTTAGAACCATTGCACAGCAACTCAGATTAAATTCTTTACTGATCTAATTTATTTTCATAATTTTCTCATAAGATAATAACTTTATTGAATACTTTCCACAAGTGAATAAATTTGTAAATTTGATTAACTCCATCTTGAGAAAGAGATAAGACAAAAAACAGACAAGAACAAATTGCTAATCATTATTCTACGTGACAAATTATTTTTTTTAATTATCTAAGTGACAGTATGGTTGTTAAACAATTTTGAAGTTAGTCTGCCAGAAAAACAAGTTCTATGAACTGTTTTTATTTATTTATTTTAGAATTAAAACTAAAATCTATTTGATGTATTGGATTATAATTTTAGAGAACATGCTTGCATGATTAACTCTGAACTATTTATTCCAACCAGCATGAGGGAGACAGTAAGGCAGAGCCAGCCGCTTTTCTAATTGGTGCATTTATGTGGCTGACACTTCAAGTCGAATGTCTTCAATCACTTTCAGATGGAGAATCCAATTCATGTACAGTATGTGCTCTGCACATGCTAGCTATTAACTTCCTCCGCTTGCCTAATTACAGTCATTCATCCTTTATCAATGAGAAGTTGTGGAAAGCAGCTGCTATCAGGTGGCTGTGTTCTCGTGTGCATGCAAAAACACACACCTGTGTGATGCTTTTACTTTTTGTGTGTGTGTTTCATTTTAGTGATCTGGTTCTGTGTTTCCAGTGCTCTCTGCCAGATCACACTGCGTAGCACACCGAGTCTGTGTGCGTGGGTGATGTGATGTGCTGGAATCTTTATGAGGCTGCGCCTCTGACACTGAGGTGATGACATATTTTATTAGCTTCTGTTCAGGGACCGTTGAAAGTCTCACCTGAGAGCTAAACTGAACTTCTTTGCTCCTTCTCACCCTCCCATCTGCCTTTCGATCCTGTTTCTGCTCCTTCAAATCACCCTGCCTCTATTCCTCCCTCATGCTAATCCCTCTGTTAGTCGTACTTCACTTCTCTCCTCTGCTCTGCTTGGGCCTTCTCGATGCATCTCCATTCCCCGCTCTCCATTATCTGTAAAGCAATTGCACCACAGCACCGTGCCGCCTCCTACCAACCCGGCTTCACCCTTGACGAGTGCCTAATTGGATGTCATCACTGGGAATGAAAGGTAAACAGACAGTGGATAAAGCTATAAATCTGTCAACTGTCCCACTTTTGGCAAAAGATGAGGGAAAAAGGGAAATGGAGATGAGGTCAGTGGAAGAGTGGGGGAAGGACGAGAAGCAGATGAAGGGATTGGTTAACTGTAAGGGTGATAGATGCAAAGGAAAATGAGAAGATGTGAGGGGAATAGATAGAAGGGAGGGGTGACAAAGTGATGCAAGAGGCAAAGGCCACTGCCGCCATTCCCTGTGGCCAGTAATAAAATGCTCCAGTCAGATCTCTGGTGTGTAGACTCTTGCATGAGGAAGCACACATCCAAAGGGCAGTTAGACTTCCTGATCGATTGAACCATACCTCGCTCTGACGTCTCAGCAGGCCTCAAGATGAATGAGCTGACCTACGAAGGAAAAGGGAAGAGAAAAGGCGGAAAAACAAATCTTTGCTTTCTAAATCTCTGAGGTTTGTGTCACATGGGCTGTAGGATGGAAGGTTACAGCTGGTGGTTTGTCTCTGCTACTACATACGTATACGTCCTTGTCTTATCAATGGTTGTTTATGTGCATCGAAACTGAATTATCAAGTGTAACATTTTGTAAGTGGTCACAATGAATAAACTGATATGATTATTCAAGGTAAAATCAACTAAGACAATAACCAAACTTTAATGAAATATGATCTAATATGTTATTAAAAGTCTAAGCGTTTTAGGAAGAATTATCGGATTATAAAAATAATCCGTCTGAATTAAATGATGTTTAATTAGTTATCAAATTAATCATAACCCCTCCAACGCCAATGTGAAGAGCCTACGTTAACAGTTTGGTGAGAGTTTTTGAGAGATTGCGCCAGCAGCGAAGTCGGCTCGGCATGGATGGCGAGTTGTTAGACTTCTGGGAGTTCAAAGGTCGTAGGCCCCTTGAATCCGCATGGCTGGTTGGAGAGATATTCTCTGGTGGTGCTGGTGGGTTGTTTGCATCTGATGCAGTTGGTGCAGGTTAAAATAAATAATAGTAGATTTGGTTATGAAAAAGGGTCGTTCTATGGTCATTCTATTGTGAGATCTTACAAGAGGTGCCCATTCAGCCTTTGGCAGGAACTGGGTCCGTAGAAGCCAGACCAATCAGAGGCCAGAAAATGTAGGAGGCGTTAACAAAGTCCCTCAGACGTCACATCCTTCTAAGAAGCTTATTAGAAAATATTTTGCTTATTATGTGAAGTAAACAAGGTATAACAGTTGTTTGTTGATATACTGAAATGATATGTGATATAAAGAATGACTCGTTTACATCTTATTTGTGAACCATAAAATGTGAGATTCCATAGAAATATGAAATATCAATCTGATGGATTTTTGATTATCTTAACCAGAAGATCGGAACTTTTTATTGCAGGGATTAAGCGACTCTTCGTATTAACTCCAAGGAAAGAGAGTGCCAGGTTGAAAATAGTTAAGACATTTTTTTCTACACAATTTAAACAAGACTAACTTTAACACTCTGTGTACTGATGGACTAAGGTGGAGTGAGACGTGAAATGATGGTGGTGTGTGTGTGGAATGTTATTCAGAACCAGCAGATCTGGAGAAGCAGTTAGTTCTGAGTGGGAGTGAATGTTTCACTCTAAACTTTAGTAGGAGATTTATAACACACATGAAACGCCATCTGTCGGTCTACGTACCCAGGGGAAGCCTCCGTTCTGATCCAGATTGTCGAGGTCCTCGTGGACCCTCTTTGGTACCGAAGCCGGTAGAAAAGCAGCGGTGCCGACCAAACTAGTCTTGGAATGCTTCCAGGTCATGACAGGTTATCACTGTCGTCTCCGAGACGCTGAAGGGGTCGTGAGGTTCAGCTTTTATTCTGAAGGAACCGTTGCAGTCAGGTGTAACTTGCAACAGATTTTATCCAGCTTGTCTGAGGTTCTTTATGGCTGAAGAGGAAGTCCGGATGGCCTGTCCGAAACTCCTCTAGAACGCTTGAACTAAAGAAAAGGTGGCGTGGAATAGTTTTTATAATTGTCATATTTTGGTTTACTGGCGAATCAGAATTTGACATGCCAAGAGAGGGTTTATACAAACACCACAGATAACCACACCTAGCCTCAGAAACGAAGGTTCTGGTTGGGTGAGACAAAAGGAAATGTGTCGTGTGACTTTAGCATTACGTGTCTTTAGTGTCTAGTGGAAATGTCCAGGATTATAACATCAAGTAAAATACTACTGATCACAGGATTATAATATCAAGTAATAACATTGTCATTTCACAGATTGATTGAACATTGGGCTCACATTATTATTGGTAAATAACAAAGTTGTTGATTATGTATTTATCAGAATAGTTCTTGTCTTCGCTTGGTAAAGAGGTTCAGCTTTTATTCTGAAGGAACTGTTGCGGTCAGGTGTAACTTGCGACAGATTTTATCCAGCTTGTGCAAGAGAGACCTTGGCCACTATCTCACGTAGATTATGCCGTCAGAGACTTTATGTCTCTGCTCGAGCAGACACAGCAGATCATGACCTTTAGGTCATAAACAGGAAATTCATGATGCTACATATCCCCCTTTTCAAGGGCATGGTAGTCCAGGCAGAGACCACCTGACGTTGAACAAACCAGAGGCCAGAAGGACTCCGCCGAGAAAGCAAGGTGTAATTTCCCAGGCAGAGGCCAAAAGTGGTGAGGAACGAACCCCACACCGAAGGACAGTCGTGGATAATTTCCTTAGGAAGCGGTCAAATCAACAGCCAGTAGATCATTAATATATCCACGGGAAGGGAATAATTCAAGCAGCAGCAGAATTTTGTATCTCCGCATGGAGGGAATAATTCAACAGTAATTTGATCCTTGCAATTGCACTTAGCGTAATCCAGAGTAGGAGGAAGATGAGCAGGTAACAGATCAGGTCCCAGCGAACGAAGTATCCCAGCAGCCATAGTCGGAATCAACAGGCGTCCAGGTCCAACGAGCCGGAACACCGAGCAGCAAGCAGCAGAGTCCGATGACGAATCATAGGGCCACCCCCAGGAATAGAGGAACATCGGCGAAACTCAGCTGAGGAGAGAGAGCACAACACAGGGCACCTCATTGTAGACACAAATGGCGTTTGATGCAAATCACCAAACAAAAAGAAACCTGTCAATATGTGTGCCTGTATGTACTATGTGAAGCAGTTATGTGAACAGAGCCCAAGTGAAGAAATGGATGCAATGCACTACGTGTACTGGAAAAAGTGGTGTAAAAGAACAAAATAACAAAACCCTATAATATACTGTATGTAAGGGAAAATCCCGCCACTAAGCGAACATGTTATCAAAATGAGGGCAACAATGGTTGTAGCCCATAACTGGTAAATCAACAAGTTAATCAAAAAGTTTTCAAAACTTAATCAACTGTAAATGACAATATAAAAGTAGATATATGAGTGAAAAAGAGCACTAAAATGTAAATCAGTGAAGTTAGTAATCAACCTATATGTGAATGTATCCCATAAGGAATTAAGATTAGTGAAAATAAAAACAAATTTGGATAACACAACAGTCTGTGGAATAAACCCTTTTATTGTTAAAACTTACTTATTACCTGACTTCAGGAAACCACAGCATGACCATCTCAAATCACACAAGTCTGCACGTCATGTATAAACAGGAAAGACAACCATGCACACACAAACAAACAAACTTGTGTAACCTGAAACAGGGGACCATGGGACTGATGACGGAAAATAGAGAGGGAAGGTTGCAGGTTTGATCCCAGCTCCCACCAGAGAGCTGCTGTTGTGTCCTTGGGCAAGTCACTTAAAGGTGCGGTGTGTAAGAATATAGTGAGAATTTTACAGTGAGAAAATCCCAAAAGAGTCTAATGTTTCAGTCATTTTGGAAGGAAGGTTATACTGAAACATATTTCATATCCTGCTGGCTGTGGGGATTGTCAGTTTTCCTCCTTTCAAAACAAAGGAAGGAGGGACGTAACTACTGTTTACCATCAGTGAGTGTGGGGTTGCCACGTCTCCTGCGAGCTAAAACTGCAGCGTTGATTATTGTAATTTGACAATGGTTGGCAAAAGCTCCAGAGTTGTTTAAGGTAGTTGCAGTAACCAAATTTTACCACAGAATGTAATGGCGCTCAAAGGGTGCCTCGCCCGGGCAGTAATTCCATGTAGAACCGCCACTGGTTCTGACAAACCAAATATGCACCAGTTACTCAGCTTTTCATGTTTATTCTCATTCTTTGATCTTAATAAGGTCACAAGTGAAACTGAAGTTAATTAATTGATGTGCAGCTGTAAAAAAAAAATGGTGATTTTGCAAGTACAATAGGTCTGGTTTTGAAAATTGACGAGTTTATGTTTATATTTTGCTGTTTAGCATAGAAAGACAACTTTTAATGTTCTGTTAGTTGTTTTTTGAAATCTTGCAGTTACTGCCTTCCAAACGATTTTATGCATTATTTTTATTCCCTCACTGAGAACCTGTCTGTAAACCTTTGGCGCTACAACAATATGAATTTCCCTTCTGAGGAACAAATATGTCATTGTTGTTTTTCTCTTTTGTGTGTGTGTGTGCGTGTGTGTGTGTGTGTGTGTGTGTGTGTGTGTGTGTGTGTGTGTGTGTGTGTGTGTGTGTGTGTGTGTGTGTGTGTGTGTGTGTGTGTGTGTGTGTGTGTGTGTTTGAGTGTGTGTGTGTGTGTGTGTGTGTGTGTGTGTGATTCTCAAAGACAGACTTGAACTGCTCCTGTTCAGCCCTGCATTGAGAGCCATCCATCAGATTTCAGCTGATGGTCCACCGCTGGCTGCTCCTGTCACCGCCGCTCAGACGGGGCGACGCTCACACAACCGCCACGAGAAAGACTGCTGTGCGATGAAAAGGGCACATCGACTCATAATTGGAACTTCGCCCATACTGAGCTTGAGACTAATTAGCTGTGTATCCAGAAGTGTGACTTCCATACTAATAGGAGATATTTTGTTTTGCAGCTGTTAAGCCGTCTGCAGGTAGGTGACAGCAAACCAATCACATATCCTCTGGTAAATTCACAAAACGTGATCATAATGCAGTCGCACACAAATATGGGATGATAATAATCCTTCATTAGGACAATAAGAGACAAGAGCAATAAATAAATAAATCGGCTTATTAATGAAGTGGGTTTTCTAGAGGATTGAATGTTCAGTAGGGGTGCTAACTTAGGAAATTTTAATCTATGACATAGTCTGCTTACAGATGGTGTCCTAATAGGCTATTCTTAAGACATAAAAATGAGATTGCTGAACTGGAAGGAGACAACTAATCAGTTTTATTTGCAGGTTTTGGTTTAAAAAAGGACCAGATCATAATTCTGTGGTTACAGCTATCTCTGTTGTTCTATCTAGCACAAAAAACCTTGTCGTCATCTTCCTCCGCTTATCCGAGTCCGGGTCGCGGGGGCAGCATTCCAACTAGGGAGCTCCAGACCGCCCTCTCCCCAGCCTTCTCCACCAGCTCCTCCGGCAGGACCCCAAGGCGTTCCCGAACCAGATTGGAGATGTAACCTCTCCAACGTGTCCTGGGTCGACCCAGGGGCCTCCTGCCGGCAGGACATGCCCGAAACACCTCCCCGGGGAGGCGTCCAGGAGGCATCCTGACCAGATGCCCAAACCACCTCAACTGGCTCCTTTCAATCCGGAGGAGCAGCGGTTCTACTCCGAGTCCCTCCTGAATGTCCGAGCTCCTCACCCTATCTCTAAGGCTGAGCCCGGCCACCCTACGGAGGAAACTCATTTCGGCCGCTTGTATCCGCAATCTTGTTCTTTCGGTCATTACCCAAAGCTCATGATCATAGGTGAGGATTGGACATAGATCGACCGGTAAATCGAGAGCCTGGCTTTCTGGCTCAGCTCCCTCTTCACCACGACAGATCGGCTCAGCGTCCGCATCACTGCAGACGCCGAACCAATCCGCCTGTCGATCTCCCGATCCCTCCTACCCTCACTTGTGAACAAGACCCCAAGATACTTAAACTCCTCCACTTGAGGTAGGACCTCTCCCCTGACCTGGAGTTGGCAAGCCACCCTTTTCCGGTTGAGAACCATGGTCTCAGATTTGGAGGTGCTGATCCTCATCCCAGCCACTTCACACTCGGCCGCGAACCTACCCAGCAAGAGCTGAAGGTCAGAGCTGGATGAAACTGGGAGGACCACATCATCCGCAAAAAGCAGAGACGAGATTCTCCTGCCACCAAACTCGACACACTCCACACCACGGCTGCGCCTAGAAATTCTGTCCATAAAGGTAATGAACAGAACCGGTAACAAAGGGCAGCCCTGGCGGAGTCCAACCCTCACCGGGAACAGGTCCGACTTAAGCCTGATTTATGCTTCTCCGTCTGCGTCAGTGCGGAGACACGCAACACCATTATCCGTCCTTGCGTAGGGATTCGGCAGACACGCAAGTACGTACGGAGTCGAGCCCACTTTTTTAAACATCCATCGAACGAAACGGATTACGCAAGCTTGTGATTGGTCAGGACGCCGCTGTTGTTTACAGCGCCGCCATTGCAAAGAGAGCCGAGTTTAACTAGCGGCAGACACGGAGAAGCTTGAAGAATACCTCGCGAAAAATCTCTAAAAATATGAACGTTTCATCCTGCCGTGACTGGAGGAGTGAAAAGATGCGCAGCAAGCGTTTTATTTGTGGACGGAAATGACAGGAAACGTGGGTTTAGAGGTGGGGAGCGCATGAAGCGGTGGGAGAATGAGAGACAAATATGTCCGAGTTAAAAGTCTCTTATATACACAAAAAACACAATAAACACACGATCTTGGACCGATAAATGACAGGATACCAAAGAACAGCGCTACGCCCTCTGTGGTCCTGCCAGGCAATTGCTTTGCAACACTCTCCAGGAGACGGAGAAGTAAAAGAGCAAAACGCTTCCGTCAATCCGTGCGTGTCTGTCCCTTGCGGAGCTGACAGAGAAGCATAAACCAGGCTTTACTACCGGCTCTGCGGACCAGACTCACGCCCCTCTGGTAAAGGGACTGAATGGCCCTTAACAGAAAGCCACCCACCCCATACTCCTGGAGCGTCCCCCACAGGGTGCCCCTGGGGACACAGTCATAAGCCTTCTCCAAATCCACAAAGCACATGTGGATTGGTTGGGCAAACTCCCATGCCCGCTCCATCACCCTTGCAAGGGTATAGAGCTGGTCCACAGTTCCACGGCCAGAGCGAAAACCACATTGCTCCTCCTCAATCTGAGATTCAACTATCGATTGGACCCTCCTCTCCAGTACCTTGGAGTAGACCTTTCCAGGGAGGCTGAGGAGTGTGATCCCCCTAAAATTGGAACACACCCTCAGCTCACCCTTCTTAAAGATGGGGACCACCACCCCGGTCTGCCACTCCACAAGAACTGCCCCCGATGACCACCCAATGTTGCAGAGACGTGTCAACCATGACAGCCCTACAACATCCATAGCCTTGAGATACCCAGGACGAACCTCATCCACCCCCAGGGCTACGCCGCTGTGTAGTTGATTGACTACCTCAGCAACTTCTGTCCCCGAGATTGGACAGTCCATCCCCAGGTGTCCCGGCTCTGGTTCCTCCTCGGAATGCGCATAGGTGGGATTGAGGAGCTTCTCAAAGTATTCCTTCCACTGTCCGACTATAACCCCAGTTGACGTCAGCAGCTCCCCATCCCCACTGTAAACAGTGTGAGCGAGTTGCTGCCTTCCTTTCCTGAGGCGCTGGACAGTTTGCCAGAACCTCTTTAGAGCTGATCGATAGTCTTTCTCCATGGCCTCACCAAACTCCTCCCATGCCCGAGATTTTGCCTCGGCAACCGCCACTGCTGCACCCCGCTTGGCTATCCGGTACCTGTCTGCTGCCTCCGGAGACCCACAGACCAGCCACGCCCTGTAGGCCTCCTTCTTCAGCCTGACGGCTCTTCGAGCCTCTGGTGTCCACCAGCGGGTAGAGGGGTTGCCACCACGACTGGCACCGGCCACCTTGCGACCACAGCTAGCAACAGCCGCCTCAACAATTGCAGAGTGGAACAAGGCCCACTCGGAGTCAATGTCCCCCACTGCTCTCGGGACGTGGTCAAAGCTCTGCCGGAGGTGGGAGTTGAAGACCATCTTAACAGGTTCTTCTGCCAGGCGTTCCCAGTAGACCCTCACTGTGCATTTGGGTCTGCCAGGTCTACACAGCATCTTCCCCTGCCATCTGATCCAACTCACCACCAGGTGGTGATCAGTTGACAGCTCCGCTCCTCCACTCGGGTGTCCAAAACATACGGCCACAGGTCAGATGATACGACTACAAAGTCTATCATCGACCTGCGACCTAGGCTGCCCTGGTACCAAGTGTACCGATGGGCATCCTCATGTTTGAACATGGTGTTCGTTGTGGCCAAACTGCAGCTTGCATAGAAGTTCAATATCAAAACACCACTTGAGTTCAGATCAGGCGGGCTGTTCCTCCCAATCACACCCCTCCAGGTCAAGCTGTCATTGCCCACATGAGCATTGAAGTCCCCCAGCAGGACAATGGAGTCCCCTGATGGAGCATTATCTAGCACTCGTCCCAGGGACTCCAAAAAGGGTAGGTACTCTGAACTGATGTTCGGCCCATAAGCACAAACAACAGTCAGGACCCGTTCCCCGACCCGAAGGCTACCCTCTCGTCCCCCGGGGTAAACCCCAACACACAGGCAGAGAGTCTTGGGGCTAACAGAAAGCCAACCCCAGCCCGCCGCCTGTCATGTTCTTTGTCCCTTTGTTCCCCAGCCCCTCCAGTTCCCACTCCAGGTTCTACTTTTGTGTTTCATAGCGCCCTCTTGTGTCCTTTGTCTGCGTCTCATTTATGTGTCTCTTTGTGTTCCTCATTTGTCCCCTGGTCTTCAGCCTTCCAAATATATCTCTCAGGTCCTGTGTTCCTTTAGTCTTCTCCAGTCACCCCTCTGCAGCCAGTCATCCCTTTGCAGTGCTTATAGTTTCGGCTTTTCATTTTTATTAGTCACTTTAATATGTTTTGTCCCACCGTTTTTTGTAGTTCTCCTTCCCTTTCGAGTTTTAGTTATATGGTTGCTTTTCTGTTTTTAGGTTCACTCTTAGGTCATGTTAGTTTCTTCCCTGAGCAACTCCAGCAAAAGGAGAGTGTCCAACCCCTCTCAAGGACTTGGGTTCCAGAGCCAATGCTATGTGTCGAGGTGAGTCCGACTATATCTAGCCGGTACCGCTCAACTTCTGCCACAAGCTCCTGCTCCTTCCCCGCCAGCGAGGTGACGTTCCATGTCCCAAAAACCAGCTTTCTTGTCCGGGGATTGGACCGCCAAGGCTCCCGCCTTGGTATGCCACCCGATCCACATTGCACCGGACCCTTCATGTTCCTCCTGTGGGTGGTGGGGCCACAATTGGATGAACCCATGTATCAGGTTCGGGCTGGGCCCGGACGGGCACCACGGGCGAAAGCCGGCCACCAGGCGCTCGCTCACGGGCCCCAACCCCAGGCCTGGCTCCAGGGTGGGACCCCGGTAACCCTGTGGGCCGGGTACTCTGACTCTTTGAATTTACCTCCATGAAAGATCCTGTGAACCGTTCTTTGTCTCACCCTTCACCTAAGACCAGTTTGTCATGGGAGACCCTACCAGGGGGACAAAGTGCCCCAGACAACATAGCTCCTAGGATCATTAGGGCACTCAAACTCCTCCACCACGATAAGGTGACGGTTCAAGGAGGAGAACACACAAAACCTAAAACTGCAAACCTTCACGCTGTCAAACGGGGAGCAAAACTAAAGGAAACATGCTGAAAAAAGAAAAAATACTAAACATTTTTAAAGTTTTGGGACATGAATGTTAATTTAGTCATTTCATTCAGCAGTTCTTGCAAGACATAGACTAATTTTATCAGAAAATGTGTAAAACTAGTGTCTATTGTTTTATCTGCTAGAAAACAAGAGGCTGGATTAATACATGCTTAAAATTTTGTTTGACTCATAAACCTAAAGAGTATTCTTGGTCAAATCTGGCACAAATGTTCTCATTTTCAGGAATAAATAAATAGTGGTCCATGAGAGCCACTTTTCTGCAAGTTTTAGATGTTTCCCTGCTCCTACACACTGATTGAAATTGCCTTCTCATCATATCAAATTCTGCAGAAGCATTTTTAATTGCTCATTTATTTAAATCAGATATGTTGAAGCTGAGAAAAATCAAATAATTGTAACGTACAGGTGAACCTTAAAATTTTTGAATATTGTCCCAATGGTAATTTATTTCAGTAACTCACCTTCAAAGGTGAAACTAACTTAACAGACTCATTCCATGCAAAGCCAGATATTTCATGCCTTTATTTGTTATAACTGTGATGATTGTGGTGTACAGCTAATGGAAACCCCACATTCAGAATATCAGATCATTAGAATATTGTGAAAAGGTTCAATATTCTAGACTCAAAGTGTCACACTGTAATAAGCTAATGAATCCAGAACATCTGCAAAGGGTTCCTGAGTCTTTAGATGGTCTCTCAGTCTAAACTGAATAACTGAAATAAATAAACTTTTGCACTAAAAATAATCAAATGTCAGATTTATTAGTTAGTTTTAGGAAATCTATTTGATCAACTTCTGCTTACCCCACTGGCAGATTTATTCACTCAAAACAAGAAAATTTAGATCATATTTAAGAATGATGACTTTATTTTAGGTAGTGCTGTTTGTCTAGATACTTTTTTTTCTTTTTAGACTAAAGACTTGATAGGCTTGTAAAATAAGGTGGAACTATTAGGCACAGTCCATAGTTGATTCAAATCATATCTCCAAGTCAGGGGTTATATTGTTTCTATTGGTGGTCACAAAGCAGAGCAGATCACCATGACCTGTGGGATCCCCCAAGGTTCAATTCTTGGACCACTGCTCATCAGTCTCTATATGCTCTCCTGGGTCAGGTCATACACAATAACAACATTACCTTTCATAGTTACCCAGATACCCAGGTGATATACCTCTATCACCTAGTGATTGTGGTCCCCTAGACTCACTCTGTCAGTGTTTGGAGCAAGTTAATGACTGGATGTAGTCAAATTTCCTCCAGTTATATAAAGGCAAAACTGAGTTGTTGTCTTTGGAAATAAGAAGGATAGGATGGAGGCTATTGCTCAACGTGGTTCCAGAAAAATAAAGACAAAGACCCAGGTTAGAAATCTTGGTTTCAAATTCGATTCAGACCTGAGCTTCACTGGTCACATTAGGGCTAGTTCAGCTTTTTATCATCTTCATCAAATAGCAAGACTCAGAGGTCTCATGTCCAGAGGGGGCAGGTGTGGACCAAAAGAAAAGTTGTATTTCCTACAATATGTCACAGTACATGGTTAGACAATCACTTTTTTAGATTTCTGAAAATTCATACATAGCTGAATAGCAGTTTTATGATCACCTATCTGTACCACCTGGTAGCTGACTTTCATCACCTCTCCACCTGCTTCCATTAGCCACTGAAGCAGCCGACTACTACATTAGCCATCTGAGCAGCCTCCTGCACCACTAAGCCCAAAAATGTAATGTCCTCTCACTCAGCCCTTTGGTTCACAGATGACCTAAGGAGGTTGGAGTCTGCTGAACGACTTTGCAAGCTATCCGCTCTCACTGTCCACAAGTAAGCCTACCAGGAGCACCAAAATAAATATTCAATTTCTGTCAAAGAGGCAAGAGCTCAGTTGTACTCAAATGCCATCATAAATAATCCAGGAAATTCCAAACAGCTTTTTTCAACTATTAACCACCTATTCGATCTACACTCTCCTTCTCCTTCATCTTCTTCTGGTTTCTGTGGTTCTCCCAGCAACAAATCCAAAAAATACCTGCAAAGACGTGCTTCTGCACACTCACTGCTCATCCTTTATGCACAACTGCAAGTACAGCAACCTCAAGGGAGCATCACTCAGACTACTGAAGAGCATCAGGAGGTGATTACTGTGATCCTGCCATACGCTCCTTGTTCTCCGGTAATGGATTGGGCCACAGCCATGCCTGTTGAGCTGATGTTTTTAGAGTTTTAATGGAGTGGTAAGTTGCAGTTAACAGTTCTACTGTTCTATTTTTAGGATTTGCACTCCCACATGTTTTAACCACCAGTGGTCTCGATCAGGAGATCTAGCGATCTCTTTTTTTGGATTTCTCTTTCTGTCCAGTTCTTGCAGCCAGCCTTCACAGCACATTGCACTTGAAAAATGAAGAAAGTGGAGAACAGAAAAGGGAAGTGCTGGGACTGTTTCTGCAAGCTCCACCGCCGGTCTATTTTTAGTTGATCTCTTATCGATAATACGATGCTCCCTAAGGTTTCATAAGCAACTGAGATTCCTTTGTCTTGTTTAACTTTACCACCTTTCTGTCCGTCTCTTTCCTTTCCCTGCTCCATATTCCCCTCTCTACTCGTGTAGCCAATACAATATTGATGAGGCGGATCGATCAAAAGAGCAGCACCCTTACCCTCCAGCTGCTGTCGGTCATCCAATATTCTGATACAAGCAATAAATTGCTGCAGGTAAGGATTTCCTCCACTTTTAGATCCGTGTCCTAAGAATAAATTGTTCTGATTGTTGAGACTTTAATTGCTTTAAATATTTGAAGGTTATGTTTGTTTTTACATTCTCTGGCATGAAGTCATGTTCCTTTCTAAGTTGCACCCTCTTAGTTCCATTTGCTGTTATGAGTTGGAGTTTAAATTTGTTTCTGGGGTCTCCAGAGACTTCACCACAGTAAGGAGCCTTGACTGCAGCAGCTATAGAGCCTCAGTCATCATCATAGAGGATTATGTTACTGTTGGTCTGGTACAGAGCAATATCAATAACAATCTTTGCACTACATCTGTCTCATGTGAAGTTTAACTCGATACAAGGTGCTCTGATGATTGCCTTTCCCCTCTGAGACTCCAAACCGAGTTACATTTTCATCTTCGGCTGAGTTTTAGTACTGAAACTCTGAGTATCTTAATTAAATGAGGTGATCTGCCAAACAAAGCTGACACAGTGAAACAGATTGGGTGGAGAGGTAATTGTGGGAAATTAAACTTGTATTTTGTGGGCTGTACTGTTGTCAAAAAGAAGAAACATTGAATTGTTTTTGAAAGAGATCAAGATTCAAACAGTTATTTTTGCAGTCATATAATTAAATTTGAACTTGAATATGTTGTTGTTGTTTTGCAGCTGTAAAACATCATTTGTGTCTAATTTTCAAAGTATGCATGAAGTAATCTTTCCCTCAAGGTTTTGTTTTTTACTTGCTTGCTAATGAGCTGTTAAGATCATTATTTGTGGTTTTCTTTCTTTCATAATTTCATCACGACAGTTAGAACATGTTGAAGTTAAAAATTAAAATGTTGTGTTTATTAATGTTTTAGTCAATGTCCAACTATATCAGAGGAATTCTGCTTGGAGTCAGCATGTCACCCGATGTTTTATTTAAACATTCTTGTGTTTCACAAATATGTGTTAATGCTCCAGATTATTGTTTTTTTTTTCTTTTTATTACTAAGAAACATAAGACGGAACACGGTAAACTCAAAAGAAGTCCTGGTACACTGAGAGTACATATAAATAATCAAAACAGGATCATTTTTCAGGCTCCCTCTTCCAGGGGAGCCCATCACTCTTTTAGGGGAGCCAGGCTCCCCTTAGCTCCTGCATAATCTGCCAACAGTCTTCAGTGTTAAAAAACCAAGATGACTGAGTCCATGAATGCAAATATTCCCCTAAGACGTAGATTAGACAGGATTTTTCTGACCTGATAATTTCTGCATTCATTTCTTTTCTGCGGCTAATTCAGGTGACTGGTAGCCTGGCAAGCCATCCTGTATATACAGGTCCTTCTAAAAAAATTAGCATATTGTGATAAAGTTCATTATTCTCTGTAATGTACTGATAAACATTAGACTGTCATATATATTAGATTCATTACACACAACTGAAGTAGTTCAAGCCTTTTATTGTTTCTAATATTGATGATTTTGGCGTACAGCTCATGAAAACCCAAATTCCTATCTCAAAAAATTTGCATATTTCATCCGACCAATAAATGAAAAGTGTTTTAATACAAAAATAGTCAACCTTCAAATAATTATGTTGAGTTATGCACTCAATACTTGGTCGGGAATCCTTTTGCAGAGATTACTGCTTCAATGCGGCGTGGCATGGAGGCAATCAGCCTGTGGCACTGCTGAGGTGTTATGGAGGCCCAGGATGCTTCGATAGCGGCCTTAAGCTCATCCAGAGTGTTGGGTCTTGCATCTCTCAACTTTCTCTTCACAATATCCCACAGATTCTCTATGGGGTTCAGGTCAGGAGAGTTGGCAGGCCAGTTGAGCACAGTAATGCCATGGTCAGTAAACCATTTACCAGTGGTTTTGGCACTGTGAGCAGGTGCCAGGTCGTGCTGAAAAATGAAATCTTCATCTCCATAAAGCTTTTCAGCAGATGGAAGCATGAAGTGCTCCAAAATCTCCTGATAGCTAGCTGCATTGAGCCTGCCTTTGATAAAACACAGTGGACCAACACCAGCAGCTGACATGGCACCCCAGACCATCACTGACTGTGGGTACTTGACGCTGGACTTCGGACATTTTGGAATTTCCCTCTGCCCAGTCTTCCTCCAGACTCTGGCACCTTGATTTCCGAATGACATGCAAAATTTGCTTTCATCTGAAAAAAGTACTTTGGACCACTGAACAACGGTCCAGTGCTGCTTCTCTGTAGCCCAGGTCAGGCGCTTCTGCCTCTGTTTCTGGTTCAAAAGTGGCTTGACCTGGGGAATGCGGCACCTGTAGCCCATTTCCTGCACACGCCTGTACACGGTGGCTCTGGATGTTTCTACTCCAGACTCAGCCCAATGCTTCCACAGGCCCCCCAAGGTCTGGAATCAGTCCTTCTCCACAGTCTTCCTCAAGGTCCGGTCACCTCTTCTCGTTGTGCAGCGTTTTCTGCCACACTTTTTCCTTCCCACAGACTTCCCACTGAGGTGCCTTGATACAGCACTCTGGGAACAGCCTATTTGTCTTTCTGTGTCTTACCCTCTTGCTTCAGGGTGTCAATGATGGCCTTCTGGACAGCAGTCAGGTTGCCAGTCTTACCCGTGGTTGCAGTTTTGAGTAATGAACCAGGCTGTGAGGTTTTAAAGCCTCAGGAATCTTTTGCAGGTGTTTAGAGTTACTTAGTTGATTCAGATGATTAAGCTAATAGCTCGTTTAGAGAACTTTTCATGATATGCTAATTTTTTGAGAAAGGCATTTTGGGTTTCCATGAGCTGTATGCCAAAATCATCAATATCAGAAACAATAAAATGCTTGAACTACTTCAGTTATGTGTAATGTATATGAAAGTCTAATTTTATTAGCACATTACAGAGAATAATGAACTTCATCACAATATGCTAATTTTTTTAGAAGGACCTGTATAAAAATATAGTCTGGCAACCAGCTGTAGAAACCATCCAGTCATGGAGAGGAATCTACGGTTGTCTTTCAGATTGCCTTCACATGCAACTGAACAGTGCTGTTGGACCAATCAGGGACACGAACAACATGACATATGTAAATGGCAAATGGCCTGTATTTGTATAGTGCCTTCTTAAGGTTCTACAACCCCACAAGGCGCTTCACAACACAATCAGTCAATCACCCGTTCACACACTGGTGGGGATGAGCTATGATGTAGCCACAGCTGCCCTGGGGCGCACCAACAGAGGCAAGGACTGCCGAAACACTGGCGTCACGGGTCCCTCCGACCACCACCAGCAGGCAAGGCAGATTGAGTGTCTTGCCCAAGAACACAATAGCAGTATTCTCTGGTCAGAGCCAGGATTGAACCTGAAACCTTCTGATTACTAGGCAACCCGCTCTACCTCCTGAGCTACGGCAGTTAATGACGCAGTCCGCTATACACCATCAAAGAAGAAGCTAATGACTTGAGAACCTATATTTGTTCACATCTCAATGAAAAGATCTAATCTAAAATGTCCAAAGTGGATGCAAAAGCCGTTTCAAAATTGTGCCCTTCTTGAGCCATCTTTGTAGTTTTTCTCTGTTGCAACTCTAGTGGAAAAATCCTGCCCAAAAACCAGAGAGCTGTGCAAGACACTAAACTGTTCAAACCAATGGTAGACCTGCTGAGGCTACAATAGGGCTTGGTTAGACCGACCTGCAGAGCAAAACCTTTTGCTGCTGCTAAAGTTGTTCTAGATTTCTAGGCTACGTGATTGGGTTTGAAGACATGCTTGTGAAACACATTGTGACCAATCGTGCTTCAAAAAAAAAACAAGTGACCTATTGTAGGAGTTGGCAAATGTAGTGCTTTCAGAGCTTAATATATTACCCTTACTTATGACCAATAAGCTGTGATACTCTATATAAATATAGAACATCAACCTGGCTGCTTGGTCTTTGGATGTTTAATCAGAAGATTCTAGGATTCTTTGTTTATTCAGGGATTGTAGGACACTTCGTCTTGATTCAAGGAAAGAGTCAGGTTTATAAAAAGTAAGAATTTATTTTCCAAACAATTAAAACATGGCAAGTTACCTAATATTTACTGTGATTGATGGATCTAGGTAGATGGAATGTGATTTATGGTGCCTATGTGTGAATATGATGTTATCAGAACTTTCATATCTAGAAGAACTGAGTTCTGGGTGTAAAAGGGAAGAATTTGGTTTGCGTTAAGCTATGAGGCTGATTCTTATCAAAAAGGCATCAGAGCTATCTGTCATATCTACATACCCCAAGTGGAGACTCTCTTTTGGATCCGAGATGTCAGGGGGTCGGGTGACCCCAAGGTACCGAAGTCCGTAGGAAAACCGCAGTACGACCAGGTCAGTCCAGAGTCGTCTCCAGGTCACGACAGATAGATGGAACTGTTGGGTCTAGGAGGACTCTTAAGGAGTCGGAACAATATCAGCTTTGTTCTGCAGGAACCGTTTGCTGTGCCAGCGGTAGGCAGCTTTTAGCAGGGTTTTGGCAGCTTGCCAAAATGGTCAGGGTTAAAGAGGTGTCGCTCCGGACGGCCAATCCGAAGTGCTCTCTAGAACTGAATGCTGAGTGATGGGAAGCTGGAATGCGACTGCTGAATCACCAGAGGGATTCTGTTTTAATATTATCATATTATGATTTACTAACAAATCAGAATCGGTCATGTAAGAAGAGTTTTACCAAGAACCTTAGAAAACACGCCTTCTTGAGATACCGGATGCTCTGATCTGGGGAAAAGAAATATCTATGTGTCATGAATTTAACTTAACTTTAATTTGTCCTTGTGTCTGAGCGCGGGTGACGATTGCCTTGCCATATCAAACATTACAGATTACCATATCTATAAATCATTTAATGTAATAATTGATTTCCTTTCAATAATTCAAGCACAGATTAATGAAACCTTATCATTATCCATAAAACATTTGTTAATTTCATTTTATGAGAATGTTCACTTTATTCAGAGAGTGGGCACTCCTGCGGTGTTATCAGAGAACGCTTTCTTTGGGAACACACGCTTTCATCGTGTTCCTCCTGAAATGTCAACAAGGTTGCGGTATCCTTCTGGGCTTTTAGGAAGATGTAAAATCCACCTTGGAGAATAGAATCTGGTCTGCAGATGACCAGTGGCATTTAGGTCAATATGTAGGTGAAAATTGACCATTTCTGGACATTACACTATTAATTGTATTTCAGTAAACCTCTGTTTAAATTTGTAATAAATGAGTATTTGTCTTATGATCTGATTAGGATGCCTCCTGGACGTCTCCCTGGTGAGGTATTCCAGGCACGTCCAACCAGGAGGAGGTTTAAAGGGAGACCCAGGACACGTTGGAAGGACTATGTCTCTCACCTGTAGGGATGGGTACCTTTGACATTTGAATCGATCCGGTACTAATTCCCGGTACCTACGAATCGATACCGGTACTTAACGGTACCAATTTTCGATACTTTTGAGTGTTTAATATTTTAATTCTCTTTTATAATTAAATATATATTTTTCTTAATACATAACCATATTTGATAAATATCACAATAAATAACATACAACTGTTTGTATTTTAGCATCGTCCTTGTAGTTTTATAAGCTGATAATTAAACTGAAGCAAACACCTTTACTGTGAACTAAATTTACTGTGTATCTTCATTCCTTTTACCGTCCTTTTTCAATTGATTTTTCCTACTGGGAAGTTAGAATTTCCGAGGAGAAAGCAAACGCACCATTAGCTGATAACAACGGTGGCATAGGAAGCTAACATAACAAGCTAACGTTATCTTAAACAGTTTATTTAACTGCTGGAGCAGATTTAATCGATGATGCCTCACACTTAAATCATTGTCGCTGGTTTCATCTTCACCCAATTACCTGTCGCATTTAGTAAAGTGAAGCCAAACTTTAGAGCGCGTTCATGTTCTTCTAGTCGGAATTTCGGAGTTCCGATGAGACAGCGAACACACCATTAGTGAAACGGAAGCTAACAAATCAAGCTAATGTTATCTTAAACATGTTATTTACCTACCGGAGCAGATTAAGATGAGGATTTCTCACTT